GTTGTTGCGTGTCGTAAAAACTCTTTGCGAATCGGCCGGCAGCAGCAGAGACTCGGCAGCAGCAGCAGCAGCCATGCATCAAGGACATGCGGCACATTAGCGAGCCGCTCATAAAGCCAAACCCCTGATAGACAGCGAAAGCAGTCAGCTAATCCGTGGAAACCCTAAACTCTACCCTATGCCGAAAAACCTCTTTCGGCGCGAGTCTAACGCGTAGGTAAGAGAACTCTTTCCTCTGTTTACTCCTTCGTGTCGGCAGGTAAAGCCGGACAGAGCAAGAGCTATACAGAGAGAGCGAGAGGGTGAGCTGAGGAGTTGACGTTTGCACGCCAATTGATTTGGCATTGAGGCGTAGAGCGTAAATAACCCTAAATAAAACCATAAAATCCTTCTGCATGTTGCGCTTTTGTGTTGGCCCATCAAACCCATCCTCACCTTGAGTGTGTCTAGGCTGAGATCTTTGCCATTTTTTAGACACATTTCATTTTTTTTAGCGAACTCGTAAATGCTGTTGCATTTTTTATGCAATTTGTTGTCAACAAAAATGCAGAATTTGCCAAAGAATTCGCGAACTGAGAGTTTTTACGTGGAAGTGCGTTCGTTTTTTACGCAACTAGACGCAACAGCAGTTAAAAACGATGATTTTTTATGAGCTGAAAGTTGACTTTTTTAGTGGAAATGATGAGGCGAGATTGTCCGGTAGAAAAGACAACAGAGGGAAGGAAAGGAGCTCTTAGAAGGCGAGAAAGAGCGAAAGGAAAGGCGAGTCTAGCCGCGCTGCACTACAGCTCGTAGGACTCTGACGAAACTTCTAGCTCTCGGATTCAACGGGTTAAGCAGAGGGGCGTGCGTTTGTCTAACCCTACAGCAGCCGAAGCCTTTACATTTGCCTCAACCTCTGCCGCTTACCTGTTCAGACGTTCATAATCCTTTTATGGCAAATAAACAAACATCGTCACGGAGCGAGAATCCTTTGGCCAAGAACCCTTGACTAGGTAAAAAGCAGCCCGCTCAAAGGGTGCAATAAACAGAAGAGTTGTTGCTTGATGAACTGGCTGCGGCTGTGGTGGATGGGTTGTGCGTCCTTTGCACACGCGTTTCTTCCCATTGTTGCACGTTCAGTTTTATGGGTGTGTGGTTTTAGCCCTTTGATGTGCATGATCATCCTGTTAATAGAAACGCAACGTACCTGTGTGCCGCTCTCTGCCACTGTGCCACTGTGCCACTGTGCCACAGTGCCACGCACACTTAATCCTTTCGCCAAACCCTTTCGGCCAATCATCAGAGCGTGTCCAAGCCGATTTAATTAACGCGGTTTTCGAAACTAAGCTCCGTATCATCGTAGCTTCGCCTAAATCCGAAATCCTAAACGCCCATCAGCTACTGTTCCAGCCAGCCTGAGCATTATATCCTTGCCAAAGGGTTGGCCTGACTTTTCCAGCGAAAGGATTTGCAACTAACTTGCATGGAAATTTTCATGAATATTTACCAAACAGCCAAGCAGTTGACTTTATAAGACCTGACTTTTGATGCCGAATCGAGGAAAAGTCGAAAAGTCAAGCTATGCTTAGACTATACAAAATGGTAAGCTGAGTTGCAGGATGAGGGGATCCTTAAAGGATGATCCCATGCATGTTGATAATGACTAAAACTTTGATTGAAGAATTAGCTGGAAGTCTTAGATCTTTTAGACACAATGAAGTAAAGGCAAAGCTGGAAATCATTCTAGAAAGATTAAGCTATTGTAAGGCCTATGTTAGATAGAGTTCTTAAGAGGAAGTAGGCTTAGGATATATTTAACAACAGTAGTTACTAGTTAGATATATCTTTAAAGTCTCAGTAGAGCTTTCGCTGCATCTAAACAGCTCAGGGCAACTAGCTTTATAGAACCTATCTGGTCTCTTCTTTAGATACTGGGAAGAACACATTCAAATTCCCAGCCTTCTCTTTGTTTTTTCTTTTATCGCAATTCTTAAGAACTCATTCAAAAAAGTCCCGTCTAAAATGTTACTAAAGTTAATTCCCAATTAACTAAGTCTCGTTTTATTTTTAATTTCTTAGGTACTCCTAACCCGAGCTTAATAACCATAATTCACAACTCTTGATTTAATCGATCATGCCTAAAAATATATACATATCTGTTATACGTGCTCAAATTAACGGAGCATTTTGCATGCCTTCGTATAACTGCATTTTAAGGAAGCCCCTACCAGACGGAGCTCACTTTTCCGCATCACGCGATCTGCCTTTGCCCTTATATAGCCGATACCCCACCCCAAAAAAATAACAAAAATTATATGTACCAAAAATAAAAACAAACCGTTTGTTTTCAGCTTTTTACCTGTTGCTAAATTTAGAACGTCTACCGTTGTTTATTTGTATTTTTTCTCGATATTCTTTTTTTTTTTTGCTGACGCTGCTGCCGCAAATATAAAAAACAAACCGACACCACCCCCTTTCTCTCTTAAGCAATTCGTATTGAACTCTGTGCGACGTCAGCGGCGCCGTTGGCAGCGGCTACGGCCCGTTGGCCCAAAATGCGTCGTTACGTTAATGAGTAATAAAATACTTTCACAACAACAACAGCAATATCAACATCAACATCAGCAATTGGGCAAAGATTTGTGTCTCTGTTGCTGCATTGCCAAAAAAAGCAGAGCGCCATTAAGTGCATGGCAACCAATAGCAATAGCAACGGCAAACAACAAAAGCAACAACAGCAATAGCAGCCTAAATAATAGTGCAGTGCGTTTAGCGCATTCACGAGCTTTGGCTATTTTTATGGCATTTTAATCGCGAGAAATGTAGTAGACAAATATATTTGCCAGGGGGGGTGGCCATGAAGGCTGCTCATCACTCTCACAGCAGCGCAGATCTGAGCGCGGTCTCGCTCACGCTCTGTTTCTCGCCCTCTCTCTCGGTCTCTCTCAATTTATTATTTTTAGTTACATGGGGCTGCTGCTACTGCTGCGCTGTTGCCAGCAGGGCAGCGTCTGGCGCGTGGGCGTCGCTGTCAGCGTCGCTGTTGCTGTCGTTCGTTGTTGTAACGCCGCTGCCGCTGGCGCTCTGTACCGCTGCTCCCGCTGGGCCGCTTTGTTTAAATTTAGACGCAATTAGCAATGCGCACATTTTTGCGTGCGTATGTGTGTATGTGTATGTGGACTATAAATTTTTGCCACAGTTTATTTTAGACGCTGCATGCGATCAGGCGCGCCAAACAACTGTATTTGCTTGTGTATGGGTGTATATCTGTGTGTGCCCACATCCTACACCTTAGCTGCCAGTTGCTGTTTTTGGCCAGAAGCAGCGTCAGCACCAACAGCAGCACCAGCCACATGATGTAAACGCTGCCCGTGTGCAATTAAATTGGCATGCACAAGTGCCGCCAGCAACGCTGCAAGCGACGCCAACCGCGGGCGGCAGCCTTTTGATCGGCTGCCAAATTGTAATTGGAACGCGAAGGTGTTGCTCGACTGGCGGACTCTGGCCGGGGGTCTGCTCGACGTGGCAACCTTCTAAACACAAGCCATAAAACGCATACAACTCGTGACTTATACTACACGCACACACGCACACTGAAAATTGACCCACTTAGCCAAATGCATAAACAATGCAATAACTGACAACATTTTATAAGAGCTTTAAATACGCATGCTAATGGAAAGCTGCCATTGGAAAATTATAAGTGCTCTCAGAGCAAGTAGTTCTAGTTTGGCTGGAAGCTTTTGCAAGCTCAGCTTGAAAGAATGTTACTACACGCAATGTATAGGCTTAACGCTCACTTGCTCTCACTTTCGCTCTCGTTTGCGTGTGTGTGTGTGTAGATTTTCTGTTATTCTTTTTGCTCATTCATTTTACATTATTTCGCACACACACTCTCATGCATGTATTTTAAAGCGAGAATGGAAATAATTATTTACATTGTTGCCTAGTGTGATTTAAGCGCCAACCTTCGAGAAAACTGATAAGTCCAAACGTGAAAGTCCGCCCTGCACGTAGACAACATAAAATTGAATCTAAGCATTGCCCGACGCACGTGTAACGGGCTCATCAGCCTTGTCGATTGATTTAACACAGACACACACTCACAGACACACACACACAGATACGCATGCGCGCTAGTGTAAGTGACCTTCCCTAGCTTAATTGAGGTGAATGGAGTGGGTTACAATTACAAAGCCGAAAAATAAACTACTACAAATAATTTGGAACACACATATGTGTGTGGGGGAGTGTGTGCGTGCGTTTGGTTAGATTGGGGGTGACGCAGGTGTTGCGCTGTCGCCCGCTTCCGCTTGGCGTGCGCACAGCCCCAACAGCGTGAGCAACCTTGTGATCTTGTTTACTGTTTAGCGACCCCACTGATCACGACATCATAACACATACACACTCACATTCACTCAATCGCCACACACACATACACACCTGTCGGCGCTGGGGTGGCGTCATATCAACATTAAGTCTCTGGGTGAGCTGCTGCCGCTTGCTATTTTCACCTTCTATGGGACGATAACGACGACGACGACGCGTCGTCGCGTTGGCCGCATGAATCAGCACGGCGTACGCTCTCGCTCTCGCTATTGGTTATCTCTATCTAACACTCTCGCGCTGATGATGTGAATCCCGCTCGCACGCTCACTGGGGGTTTCGATATTTCCAAAAAGGAAGAAATGCCCAATAGAACTTGCAGTGCTTTTTTCTTGCTCGCTCGGAGAGGGGGGCGTATGAGTAACTGTGTACCCTCTCGCAAAGGCCGCGGCTTAGGTAAACTGACGGCAGCAGCAGAAGCAAGACAACGACAACAACAATGACTGCGCACACAGGTAGAGCCGACATCGTTGCTACCTACACACACGAACACAAATGTATGCAGCCGCACACATGCTCTATGTGCATGTGTATGTGTGTGTGTAAATATGCCGCCGACTGGTCGTGTGGCTCGCGCTGACCGCGCCTCGCTGCGGCGATTTCGATTTAGCCAACGAACCTGTCGATCAATCGTCAGTCGTCTGCTGTAAGCCCAACGATAAGGTGGTGGTCGTCAGCAAAAACGCACACACGCAAGAACATACGTACCAGCAAACGAACACACACTCGCACATATTGCCGATTCGCCATCGTGACGATCGTCGCTCGTTCGTACTTCGAGAAACGTTTAATCGCGCTGCATTCAGAGTCAGACAGTCATTCGCTTGCCGTAACTCGTAGCGTGCGGTTGCCTCTCCCTCTAAAGCGGAAGAATACAAATCTAAAGAAAAGAAACACTCTCTAAGCAAAGACTAACGTATTTACGTAGTTTCGTCGTTGCGCGAAATAAAAGTGAAAAGTGATCTTGAAACTGAAAACTAAACAAATCAAAGAACTGCATACCAACAAACAAATCGCAGCAGAGCAACAAACTTAAACAAAATCAAGTGCGCAGCAAATTTCTGCATTTGCCGCTAGTGGAAAAATAAAGAAAGAACAAAATCAAACTGTGTCTTAAACTGCATAAACAATATATAGCCGATATCGAGATGGTTACCGGCGTAACAACAAACATGAGTCCCAATTTAGTGGGCGCTGCTGTGGTGCCCACGCAGCTGAAGGAGACGCCCATCAAAAGTGACCGTAGGGTAAGTGTCAAAAGTGTAGCAAAGAAAAGTACCGTTACATTGGAAATGGACAACAGTTAGACTTGGATTAGAAGAGTGAGCGAGCTAGAGATGCGCGTACTAAACAGCTCTTTGGCCATATGAATATTAGCAGCATATGGTTAGTGATGCGCCTTCTGGAGTGTTAATTGGCCTTAGCTATGTTTGCTAAATGAATATTTATTCGGTCAGCATCGTATTTGGGCATATTTCTTAGGAAATTTTATAAATGTTTACAAGTTAAGCATTTTTTCTTGTGTAAATTTTTAAATCACATACAAGTTAGCTGTTGTCTCCCACTTTGTAAACACACACACGCACTGAGCGTGTCCCACACACAGTTTGCCAATTCTGCTGCCCAAATGCATTTCCTTTTTGGCCACATTTCGTCGTCGTCGGCTCCCACATGCCAGCGAATGTAACCATATAAAAAAACTGTTTATCAAGAGAGAAAAAAAATATGCCGTCGGCTCGCCAACACAAAGCGGCGTCTGGCGTTGGCGGCATTTACGTTGGGGCTTCATTCATGGAGACAGAGAGTGAGACAGACGGACGGACGGTCGGACAGCTGGCCAGTCCATTCATGAGTGCCACCCAAAATTGGTTGCGGCTGCCCACTTGAGCGGCTTCCATTTGGCGCGTGGTCGCTGCAATTGTCGCTCATCAGCTTCTTTTGGCTGTTAAAAAGCTGTCGCCCTATGGCTATGCTTTTGGCTGTTTTTGGCTTTTGCCCGCTGACTTCATGCAGTGCGGGCGTTGAGCTGCGCCAAATTTGGCCAGCACCAAAAATAATTTCATTCTGTTTGTATTTCTTAATTTTTTTCTGCTGCTTGCAAAAAATAAAATAACAACTTTTTTTTTGCGTCTTCGAATTTCCCACGACGACCTTGTTGTTGTTGTTGTTGTTTGCTAGAAATACCTGCGTATTGGTTATTTATTTTTGGCCGCATCGGCTCGTTGCTTATCGTAATTTATAACCGCAAGAAACTATTTTTGGCCAACACTTGCGAGTGCAATAGATAGATAATACATACATACATATGTATAAATATATATATTATATATATATAAATAGAGCACGCGCCGTGCTTCTCTGTTTTGGCCCCCAGCCAGAATGGCTCGACTCAATGTTGATGACAATGTTGAGAGTCCCCGTGTCCAATTAAAGCCACACGCAGTTGATTTTATTTTTGTTGTTGTCGAACGCTGCATGAGGTCAAAAACTGTCAAAAAAAAAAAAAAAAAAAAAACACAACTGTGTGACTCGTGATACGTAACCCGTGACTCGTGACTAATCTGAACTCTTTCTCTTTCTCTCTTTCTTGCAGTCGAATAAACCAATAATGGAAAAACGTCGTCGTGCACGCATCAACAATTGCCTCAACGAGCTGAAGACTCTTATACTAGATGCCACAAAAAAAGACGTAAGTATCTAAAAGAGAATCTTTGAGTTAACTAAAAACTATCTAGAGTATCTAAGAGCTAAAAGAAGTATCTAGCTGTGGTTCTTGAGAATCGATCGATATCTCTATAGATCTGCAGATCTAGATCCCTATATCTCTATAGCTCTTTAATCTCTACAACTTACTTGCTATAAACCCAACTAATCCCTATCTTTGTTCTTCTCTCTCTTTTTAGCCTGCGCGTCATTCCAAGCTGGAAAAGGCCGACATATTGGAGAAGACAGTGAAGCATCTGCAGGAGCTGCAGCGTCAACAGGCAGCCATGCAGCAGGCCGCCGATCCAAAGATCATTAACAAATTCAAGGCTGGCTTTGCTGACTGCGCGAATGAGGTGAGCCGCTTCCCTGGCCTGGATGCTGCCCAGCGTCGTCGTCTGCTGCAACACCTGAGCAACTGCATCAATGGCGTCAAGAGCGAATTGCATCATCAGCAGCGTCAGCAGGCAGCTGCACAGGCGCAATCGTTGCACGCACAGGTCGTGCTGCCCTCGCCACCCAGCTCACCTGAACAGGAGCCAACAACAGCAACAAACGGCAGCAGCAGCGGCAACAACTTAGTCTCAGCGGCTGCGCCCTATCTGTTCGGACAGATCCAACACAATGCGAATGGCTACTTTCTGCCCAATGGCATGCAGGTGATACCCACCAAGCTGCCCAATGGTAGCATCGCCCTGGTGCTGCCCCAAAGCTTGCCACAGCAGCAGCAGCAACAGTTGCTGCAACAGCAACAGCAGCAGCAACAGCAACAGCTAGCCGCAGCTGCCGCTGCCGCCGCCGCCGCTCAACAGCAACAGCTGCAGCAGCAGCAACATCATCATCAATTGGTTTCCATGCCACAGCGGACGGCGAGCACCGGCTCCGCCAGCTCGCACTCCTCGGCGGGCTATGAATCGGCGCCGAGCAGCAGCAGCAGCCACGGCAGCTATGCGCCGCCCAGTCCCGCCAACTCGGTCTACGAGCCAATGGATGTGAAGCCCTCCGTCATACAGCGTGTGCCCAGCTCCAATCTGGTGGAGCAGCAGCCGCTCTCGCTGGTCATCAAGAAGCAGATCAAGGTGGAGGAGGAGCAGCCCTGGCGGCCCTGGTAAACGCAGAAGCAAACACAAGCATGAGCCAGGCGCTCGCATTGAAACTGCTCCCAAAACAATGCAAACCGCTTTTAAAGACTGATGGGCGTCGCACACACACACGCACAACACACACACACACACACACACACACACACACACACACCTCATACACACACTCAGCTGCGCAGGTGCGCAGTTAAACATTTCATCACATTTCGCCAGGATAACGCAAATGTTGCATTCGAAGTGTTGCGAGCAAGCGAAACTCCTAATTGGCTCAACGTTTCACTTGGGCATTTCTCTGAAGGAGAAATTCCCAGCGAGATGAAGAGCAATCATACACACACACATGCACACAAATTGTTATAATTTATTTATTATTATATTTTATTATTATTATTATTATTATTATTATTGTGAATTCATTTCTCAAAATGGTATTTTGCATATCGCCAAACTACCTCAACCCAAGTACTTGGTGTTAAGATTGCCTCATGAATCATGTATTAGAATATTATTTTAAACTTTCACACACTCACACACACACATAGATATATATGTAAAGAGCAATGAAATCTTCAAAGTCTTCCACACAAACAGTCAAAGTTTGCTTGACAAAAAACTTAACTATAATGAATAATAATAATAATAATATAATGCCTAATATCTCTCCATTTAAATATAGTCTCACCTCTATACGTATATCTATCTATATCTATTGTAAGCTATCTGTATAGCAAACTATTTGTAAGACCACGTGATATAGTGAACATAATGAGAAATCTAAGAGAAAAAGAATTTTGAAAGAAAAAAACCAACAAAAACAAAAAAAGCAACAAAACAGTTCAGCTAAAAAAACAGCTACTAAAAAAGAATAAAACATGAAAAAAACTTTACTAAAAAATTAAGCACAAAATGATTTTATTTATTTTTGAAGGTATTCGAAAGGTCTACGGGATATTTCTTGCTATAACTGGTGAAAGCCTACAAAAATCTAGTATGAAGTGAATGAAAGGAGAACGGCAGAAAGAGAGTGAAGTAGAAAGAGTGGGACAAAGGGAGGAGCAGAGATAAAGATGGGAAAATGTAGCAAAAAAAAAAGAGTGGAAGAGCGAGTGAGAGAGACAGAGAAGAAGAACAGGAGAGGAGGCATTAATAATCTTAATACTAAGCCTCTTTTTGTAGTATAGTCTCTCAGCTAGAGCCTTACCTTTGTTATATTGTGATATTGTTTCTTAATTAAAATTTATGCATTTTTTTTAGAAAAACTAAAATTTTTTTATGTATTTCTGGATGAGTCTTTGAGTTCAGGGACAACTTGACCCAGACTTCGATTATAGCATTATAATATTATGATATAAGTTCTTCTTCTTCTCTTTTAATTATTTAAAATTCATTTTTAAATAAATTTTTATATATATATATGTATATATTTCCATATATGCATTAAGGTTCAGCTATATCTAAAATTTCAAAATATTTTGCAATATGATCAGGCAAAGTTTTGAATTTCAGTTGCTTATTACCCAAATATATATTCTTATAACTGTATATATTTATGTATATATATATGTATATATATATATATATGTATATATATATATGTATATATATATATATATTTGGTTCACATAAAAAAAATATATATATATATATATGTGAAATACTTTTGAAACCTGAAGATATGTTTACTGCAGTCTAAAGAATTTTTTAAAAATAACTTCTTCTTCTTCTTAAGTTTGCAAACGATTCAGCAGAAAATGTTTATCACAGAGTCATGTGAATCGAAACAGTTGGAATTTCAGCTAAGAAACTGATGGGGCCATATAGAGAAATTCTCCATTTGAGCAAGTTTGACTATGCTCTGATTGGGTTTTAGAATTGACTCTGATTGGACTCCTTATGCCGTCAATCAAGCTGAACCTTTTGTTTCATGACTGATTCAGATAGAGTTTCAACATAAGACATATGCAGGCAACATTATTAATAGAGCTCACATACGCATTGAAGCACAGAGAGCATGCAATTTTAGCTCTAAGAATCATCCAGAGATTCTTGTTAAGTTTGCTTCTTATTGGACTATTCTCAGATGCTATTTCAAGTAAATCAACATTCGAGTTAGTCATGGCAACTTAAGTTCTAGAAGCATAAGGAAAACACCTTATAAAAACCATATAATTAGAGATAATTAGATACATAGATCGTACAGCAGCTCTGCTTTAATCACCTTTAAAAAAGTTGTTCGACTTGCTGTAAGGCTATCAGGGACAGCCACTGTAATATTCCATAAGTAACATTGAGCAATAAACTCGGTTCATAGAATTATAGGGCACGTAGCAGCCGAGTGGACTTTCAAGCTGTTCATAATAAAATATAATCTATTGTTAATACCCTGCAATAAGACGCCAACGAAAAAGTTTCCGCAAAGTCTGCTGCAACAAAAAATACCCTTCAAATAACGCCAAATCATGCTGATAATATGAGACGGTGTATGTGAGATATATGTGAGATATACATATATAGCAGATACTCCGTGTCGAGCTGCTGCATTCGAATTTTCAGGACGGATGAGCAGAGTTAGATCAGCTCGACTATTGCTACTGATAGATAGTATATATTCCTTGTAGAGTTACCCGCATTTTAATCTATTTTTGTTGGGTATTTTGTTATTTTGATAAAAAGGAATTTAGTTTTCTTTCTACATGACTCAAATACACAAAGAAAATAAACAAGTGCCAAGGCTAAAGCTGAATGCAATGCAAGACGTAGAGCACTATGTATATAGACATATATGTGAATTCATGTGTATATAGAAAGATATTCGAATCGTGCTGAAAAGCGCGTCGCCGGGTCTGAGATATGCATTTAGCCGCGGAGCTCATAAAAAGTGGCGCGCGCGCCTCCGTCAAAAGTCCAAAACAAATTCTAAAGATAAAACAGCAAGCTTTAGCTATACCGTTACTAATACTAAATTCAGCTCTTACGGATTTCAAAATCTTTAGAAATGTCAGCTGCAGTGGCGCGATGACCATGCGAATTAGTCATGCGAAAATTTAATAGCTGCGTTTTTTCTCCTAAAAGTGCGTCAGACTTGATTGCACTTAAGACATATATTTATATATATATATATATATATATATATATATATATATATATATATATATATATATATATATATATATATATATATATATATATATATATATATATATATATATATATATATATATTTACATATACAAAAATATTTATATAATCCATACGTAGTTCAACAGAAGAGCTCTGCGCATATCGTGCAGAAACTTGATAAAAATCACACCAAAAACCACAAAGCATGAGACATCAACTGTAAAGTGTGATTCATGAATTATGCTAGATATACATTGTTATAAATAATAATGTGAATTCATTGTGATTGATCAGAATGACAGGAACTGGTGCCACTTTCCAATAAGAAACTCAACGTGGTGTGGCAGCACTTGAATTGATTTATGGGCAGCACTGCTTGCAGAGCTAGAGTATACTCATTATAACGAGAGCACTGCTCTTCTCATTGAGTGGACAGAGCTGTCAAAGCTACAAATGCCAATAGGATTTTATTAGGTATGGCTACAATAAAACATTTTCCAATTAGAGTGCCAATATGACTTTATCCAGAAAGAATTTTTCTGTTTAGACAGACCTCTAACTTGTTAAAGAGCTGCTTAAGTTAAGGCAGCAGTGCACGCAAATCTTGGAATACATTCCAATAAGCAAATTCCAATAAAAGAGTTCTTACTATGGAATAGTTAAATTATATACACATATATATATATCTGCTTCTGATAATGACAGCTAATACCTCAAGCGCCCTAACTGCGCCACATTTGTGCACAAAAATTAAATTTGACATTTTTCGCGTGACAAAAAACGTGATTTGAGCTCTTTAATCTTTTTTTTTTTAAAATATTTTTGTTGTGTAGCTTCCCAAAATAAAATTACTATATTTAACAGCTAATATGTGGATATAATTTGCGACGCGCTGCATTTTTTGGCTTTGTAAGTGGACGCGGTGAAACAGAACACATAAAAAATTTAAAAAAAAAAATACATAAATATATATATAAAAAGTATTAAAAATATCTAAAAAATGATATATAAAAATAAAATCAAAAATACAAAAAAAGTAAAAAATCCAATTGGAATACGATGCAAATCAAATTGCAAAAAATGTTAACGGGACAGGGCGCACGGCTGACAGCGGATGCAAGATTCCAAGATATATATATATATATATTTCGAAATATACACACACATATATATAGGTATATATAGCATGTATGTATGTCAGAGTACCGTTGATATTTGCGCCGGTGTCGCAGCTATTCCACTGAACTGAAATTAACGTTAAAGTAACAACGCCATAGCCCAAGAAGCTCAGGTGGCTTAAATCGTGTGGCCGTTGCTTTTGGCCAAGGGTCTGGCCCTACCCACTCCCCACTGGCACTCGACCTGTCCGATTTACCTCCAGCTCTAGCGCTCGCTGCTCACGTGCCGCTCACAGGTGATGTGTGTTGAACAAACTATGGAGCCCACCGGCCGACTGCTATCAGTTCACTCTCTAGCGATAGGCTGTGTAAATATATATCTTCACATTATATGGCGCAGTCGAATGGTAGAAAACAAAAAAAAAATGTAACTGGGTGAACAAATGGCTTAGGTTAGTGCTATAGAATCGCGCTAATCGAATGACCTTGTTAACGGCTCGAGTGCCACTTGAACTGCCCGACAGCAAGTTGAATGTCAAAGTCAGCCACAGCCCCGACTTTAAGCTATGCCAAGCACGTCTATATACATATACACGCATGTGTGTATGTGTGTGTGGACCTTGGGTGCGGGCAGCTGCTGGCTTTTCGGGTTTGTTAATGTGTTTGAACCTAGTTTTTTTGTTCTTTTATTTATTTATTTCGTATCTGGGTTTGTACAGCTTGAAACAGCAGTTGACTGGAACCAGTAGAGCTTTTTAGCTAGAACCCGTGAACTATTCACAATGTTTCTAATCGCATATCACATTTCCTCTTCCATTCATATGCAAAAAAACAACAAGAATGAAAACTAATTAGAAGAGCTATACGAATGGGAGATGCTCTGGTGGCTGAGTGATTCTTCTGATTGGAACTTTATTTATAGATACTTTATAGGTGTTGTGAAGAGTATATAGACTGTGGTGAGACCTTTTTCGTCATTATAGGCAGCTTAGTGACATACCTTTTCTGATTGGACTGAAAGATACAGCTTTCTATGGCAAACAAATTCATTGTAGACTGAAAGTCTGGCTTCAGAAGTGTCACTAGTCTTCTTATTGGAATAGTAAGAGTATAATAGTGGCA